TAGCGAATAGAAACCAGCCAGTAAAATCCAGATCAGAGACAGTCACCGCACTCAGTACTATAGTGATACTGTGTATCGAATCAGACTGGATTATAGCGAATAGAAACCAGCCAGTAAAATCCAGATCAGAGAGACAGTCACCGCACTCAGTACTATAGTGATACTGTGTATCGAATCACACTGGATTATAGCGAATAGAAACCAGCCAGTAAAATCCAGATCAGAGACAGTCACCGCACTCAGTACTATAGTGATACTGTGTATCGAATCAGACTGGATTGTAGCGAATAGAAACCAGCCAGTAAAATCTACATCAGAGACAGTTTCAGCACTCAGTACTATAGTGATACTGTGTATCGAATCAGACTGGATTATAGCGAATAGAAACCAGCCAGAAATCCAGATCGAAGACAGTCACAGCACTCCAGTACCTCAGTATTACTGTGTAGCCGAATCACACTGGATTATAGCGGTAGAAACCAGCCAGTAAAAATCCAGATCAAGAAGAACAGTCACGCAGCACTCAGTACTATAGTGATACTGGCCGAATCAGACTGGATTATAGCGAATAGAAACTGTAGTAAAATCCAGATCAGAGACAGTCACCGCACTCCAGTACTATAGTGATACTGTGTATGAATCCAGACTGGATTATAGCGAATAGAAACCAGCCAGTAAAATCTACATCAGAGACAGTCACGGCGCACTCCAGTACTATAGTATTACTGTGTATCGAATCACACTTATAGCGAATAGAAACCAGCCAGTAAAATCCAGATCAGAGACGATCACCGCCTCCAGTACTATAGTGATATCTACAGCCAGCCATCGAATCAGACTGGATTATAGCGAATAGAAACCAGCCAGTATAATCCAGATCAGAGACAGTCACAGCACTCAGTACTATAGTGATACTGGGTATCGAATCACACTGGATTATAGAGAATAGAAACCAGCCAGTAAAATCCAGATCAGAGACAGTCACCGCACTCAGTACTATAGTGATCATGTGTATCGAATCAGACTGGATTATAGCGAATAGAAACCAGCCAGTAAAATCCAGATCAGAGACAGTCACAGCACTCAGTACTATAGTGATACTGGGTATCGAATCAGACTGGATTATAGCGAATAGAAACCAGCCAGTAAAATCCAGATCAGAGACAGTCACAGCACTCAGTACTATAGTGATACTGTGTATCGAATCACACTGGATTGTAGCGAATAGAAACCAACCAGTATAATCCAGATCAGAGACAGTCACAGCACTCAGTACTATAGTGATACTGTGTATCGAATCAGACTGGATTATAGCGAATAGAAACCAGCCAGTATAATCCAGATCAGAGACAGTCACAGCACTCAGTACTATAGTGATACTGTGTATCGAATCAGACTGGATTTCAGCGAATAAAAACCAGCCAGTATAATCCAGATCAGAGAGACAGTCACAGCACTCAGTACTATAGTGATACTGTGTATCGAATCAGACTGGATTATAGCGAATAGAAACCAGCCAGTATAATCCAGATCAGAGACAGTCACAGCACTCAGTACTATAGTGATACTGTGTATTGAATCAGACTGTATTATAGCGAATAGAAACCAGCCAGTAAAATCTACATCAGAAACAGTCACAGCACTCAGTACTATAGTGATACTGTGTATCGAATCAGACTGGATTATAGCGAATAGAAACCAGCCAGTAAAATCCAGATCAGAGACAGTCACAGCACTCAGTACTATAGTGATACTGTGTATCGAATCAGACTGGATTGTAGCGAATAAAAAACAGCCAGTATAATCCAGATCAGAGAGACAGTCACCGCACTCAGTACTATAGTGATACTGTGTATCGAATCAGACTGGATTATAGCGAATAGAAACCAGCCAGTATAATCCAGATCAGAGACAGTCACAGCTATGTCGCAATTACTATTGTGTTCATTAACTCCAGTCCTGAGTTTAGTGAATAAAACCTGCTTTTCTGGTCAGTTCTAGACATGTAGTCTTGGATTCTATTAGACAATAATTGGAGCAGGTTCTTATTAGACCAGATGTCTCGGACACTGATTGCTGGCCAATATTATATGTTCTATGGGTTCTAGAAAGTTTACTCTAGATCAGGAGATCCCAGCACATCTCCGAACATTTCATTCATGTGTGCTAATAAGGACCATACACAGGAGCTTACAATCCATGTAATGTATCCATTGTTCCAATCCAAGGACTGCCTGGGTAACAAGTAATAAGTAATCATTCGCAGAACTGCCAGTAGAATTACTGCGCAGACCCTATACATTAAACAATCTGCACTTTCTCATACGCATCACAGCGTGTCGGTTCCTTATAAATAAATGATAATGGCAAGTAGAGAATGGATATAGCTCCTGCTCGACAGGCGCTGGGGAGAATTCTCTGCCGCTGTGCTCTCGTCTTCCTCCCTATTCTCAGAATTTCTGTTGTCATAGCAACCAGGATGAAATTTATTTGAAGAAAAAGAAATATGACAAAGAGCCTGCTGCTGGCATGCTGCATGCAGCCTTCGTTATAGATTCAGGGGCAACCTCTGCCCTGCCAGCCTGATTTATCCACGAAGCAGCGAGATGCTCCGAGTAACTCATGGGTCAGGGACTGTGATCTCAGCATGCTGGAGCATAGAGCAGGACTGAGTAGGTCTCTGTATCCTTATTAGGTGTAACCAGATCTGTATAAACACATTCTGCGTCTATATACCCCTCTAAATTGGCACTCTGGTTCTCCATTAATTGCCTTCTGTAATCCTCTGGATAATTTAACTCCGTAACCCGGGGTATCAAGGTTTAGGGAAGCAGATGAATTATGTAGAGGCAGTCATGTGGAGAGTTTATTAACGTATTGCTGTGTTGGAGCCATCACAGTGGGAGTTAGGAGGAAATAATGGCGCAATCTCCGACATTACCCATGATCCACTTGGACATATGCCTTTACTCCTGTATGGTCTATAGAAAGGTGTCTAAATGGGTTTAATAGTTTACAACAAAACAGGTCAGCTTCTCTCATCATATTGTGCAGATAACGCCAAATACAAAAGGGGCGGGAAATACTGCAATATAGTGATATGTCATTTTATGCAGTGCCAGCATCGTAATTCCTGACTGATAATTTTTTGTTTTCTTGGCATACTGGTTCCTATTTTGCTTGTAATTATTTTACTTCTGTAAATACTCGGCTATATAAATCCCAGAACATGTATCCAGAAATATGTACATAAAACCCCAAAGTACACCATTGCAGCCATAAAACACCATAATGGAGAAATTGCTTAATAAAGAAATTTGTCACATCTGAGGTGTGAAACCGTTATTTCCTGGGTGTAATATACTGCATCACAGCGCCATAATAAAACAAGCGTTTCTCACACTTTGTCTTGTTTCTTGGTTTCTCAGTTACAATCAGACAACACAGGAGCTAACACTCCATTTGTGATGCTAGTAAGTCTGTCAGAGAGGATTTGGGGATGGCAATGCATTATGGGTACAGAAGTTCTACAGAGCATAACTGTCTCCATTGGGATCTGTATAAAAAAAAAAAAAAAAAAGAGGCAAATAGCTAAGGATTTCCTCTGGATGCAAAAGTTAGACAGAAGCCATTATCCAAGATGGCTTCTGTGCCTGTCTACCCACCCACTATTGCTGGTGATTTT